GACACTTTTCAAATAGAGCAGGTATAGACCGAACTCCTTACAACATTAACAGAGAAATTTTAGAGATCTTCAATTTATTTCAATTTACTGTAAAAAAAGAAAGAAAAAAAATAACAGGATCAGAAATCAATAATTTAAGTGTCATTGTTACTATTGTGGGTAGGTTGTGGCTCTTACACAACTAGATTAGACTAGAATCACTGATAAACTGTTGTTTCATCCATTTTTAATCCCCTCCTAATATATAGAAAATGGAGTCAACAAATAAAAATTAACCAAAAAGGTGTGACTGTCCTGATATCACAATCTCTACAGTGGATGCAAATTATTTTCTGCAATACATTTCCAGACATAACAGACATAATGTACATTTTTGAAATAATATTCCTTACATGAACATTTTAACAACACTAATTATGATGGATTATTGCCAACGAATACAATGAACACATTCTCAGGAGTAAAACAGCATTACTGACTAATATTGGCGGTGTGATGGACAAACTTGGACAAAGAAGAAAGACCTGTTCTCAAAGAAGATTTCAGGAGACCTGTAAGACTTCCACAGCAGAATCTATTGAGGCTCAGCTGAGGAGAATAAGATCAGGAATACAGCAAATACAATGCCAACCCAAGCTCCTGTCAGGGAATATTTAGCACAAACCCAGACCCACAAGCTCTACTAGAGTCCCAAATATGGTCATGATTTACGCAGTATCAAAACAAGGTCTAAACTTACCTTGTGTGGGACCCTCCATCTTAAAGAATGTGTAAAGCATGACAATTCCTCCACAAGGGTGCACTGGTAGCTCACCTGGTATCTGTGTTTTGTTTGTGTCTTATCAGATCCTGCCTTACTTGATTGATAAAAGCGAAGAGTAAGTGTAGATTTGTCTATGTATGCATGTATCTACATATGGCTGTGGACCTGTTTTGTTAGTGTACCATGTTATTTTCACTACTAAAGATCACATGAATGTTATACATGAATAGATTGAAGTGAATTCAGTCATGTGGACATTCATTGAAGGGATAGTGTCTTTCTTTGCAGGGACCCACTTGGGTTCATGAGCAAGTGTGCTTGTTTGTATGATGTATACAACATGTGTTGCAGATGTACAACATACTACTCCATCACATCAGTAAACATTTTAGCCACACAGTAATCTTGCATGCTGTTTGCTTCTTTGCCCTTTTCTTGCCTTCTTTTTTCTTCCTCCGTCTCTGTCTTCTGCCAGCTGCAGCCAGCGCTTCATATATCTCTCTCTCGTCATCCACGGCATCCTTGCAGAACGAATTCTGCCGCACTGCATCTGCAGGACAGGAGGGGAAGAAGAAAGTTTGGCGTCATTGTGTTTTGACACTAACAAAACTCTGGTCGGAAATAGCCATCAGTTTGTATCAACCTGTTACAGCATACTCACTTAGGTTGACTCCCTTGATGGTAAGGTTCTCGATTTTCTTCCTCGCGAAAAGTTTGGCCATTATCCTCCACACATACTTTTTGGTCGTCATCCCTGTGGCCACACCAAGGTATGAGATCTGAAAAAAAAATTGTAAAAATCATTTAGCTGCTAATTACAGTGTGTATTATTTTCTGAAAATAAAGTGATATTGTCAACTGAAGATAAACAACATTCAAACATTGAATTAGTAATTCATTTCTGAATATTTCAACTAGAAGAAGTGATACTTGATATTGCAACCTTTGATGCTACAGTCAATATACACAAAATGCATGCAGACGGTTAGTTTAATTTAGCACAAACACTGGAAATAGGGAGACCGCCACTGTAACTAGGGAGACCGCCACTGTAACTTGGCTCTGTCCAAATGCAACAAAGTCTACCTACCAGCACTACAGCTCAGTAATTAACGCATTATATCTTGTCGGTTGAATCTGCATAAAAATGAAAAATTGTGGTTTTAAAGGGATTATGTGCTACACTATTTGTTGGCCAGACTATTTCTTGTCTGGGAGCAGACCTGGAAAAAATTGGTTGGTTGGTGAGTTTTAGAGGTGCTGGAAGCTGTTTCCAGACTTTATGCTAAGCTAACTGTCTCCTGGCTGTAGCCTCAAAGAAATGACAGTGGTATCAATATTCTCATCTTCTCATTTTGGCAAGAAAGCAAATAAGCTATATCTCCTCTGTATGTGTGTTTGGTTATTCTATTTGGAAGAAAAAATCAATACCTCCCTTTCCTTTTTAGATGGCCAGCATGTCCGTCTTCATGCTCTGTTGCAATCAACTTGTTCATCTGACGATTTCAAGTTTTTGCCTGTGTGTCTGCAAACAAGACAAGATTTCAATATTGTTCAAATCAGCAGTGAAAACATGAAATTGTGGAATGTGTTGGTCAGAAGAAGTGCAACAGGATACGAAACTAAAGAAGGTACACAGATGCAAAAAATTAACACCAGATACACATTTCTCTATCAGTTGGTCTAACACTTTGGTCCAGACTGAAATATCTCAACAACCAGCAATAAATCCTACTGACTTTGGTGATCCCCTGACTTTTCCATTAGCACCACCATGAGGTTGACATTTGTGGTCCGACATTTGTAGTCCAACAACTAGATGGACTTTTGTCTAGTTTTGGTATTCATGTTCCCGACAGGATGAACTGTAACAATTTATTGAGCCCTAACATTTTCATCTAGTGTTACCGTGTGGTCAAAATTTTATTTTCCCAATACTTGGTTTTATGACCAAATACCTGCAGCACAACATTATACTAAACATCAGCATGTTGGCTTTTTCTTCTTTGCACAGAGCTAAATGTGTTAATTGCATACAGTATTGAGAACTGTCAAGTACAATAAGCTGTCATCGGATGTCTGCTCAAACTCAAGTCCTACTCAAGTTCTCGATGTAAATCACAATTTTGCTAATTCAAGGTTTTATTTTACCAAGACAAAGTTTTGCTGCTTGAGGTTGAAAGGTAGTTAACAACAATTGAGAAATTTTCTAAATGAAGGGTTTATAAAAAAACATGTTGATATTCCTCAATGTAAGTAATCAGAACTGGTTTTCTTAGCTCATAAAAAGTTTTTGTTCTGGATATAATAAAATCAAACAAAAATATGCAACAATTCTTAACCATTCACAACTGAACTATAAAAACCAGGAGACCTGTGATGTGCTGTTTCATGTCTCTCAAATTGGAGCAAATTGTCACACAGTATAACCACAGCCATCAGCTGCAACACATTGTTTTCTCACATTGCAGGTCTTGATACTGAAATCAGTACCTCAAAAGTAGATACTTCAAAGACAGTGATATATTTCCTTCCATTACACACAGGAAATAGCAAATGTCTACCTAAACTGTCAGAAAGCTCTGACACATACTGAATAGTCAGTAAGGCCATGAGTAAAGGAATATTTTTAATAATAATTAATAATAATTTTTTCTTAGAATTAGAATTTTTTCTAATATCCATGCAAAGGAAATACTACTACTGCTAGTTTCTACACACCGTTGCATTGGTTCTTATTCCATATTAATATTATTCTATATTATTCCATACAGTAGAATCCCAAATGATCACCATAGCTGAGTACTCATTACTAATGTTCCATGCAGTCATTTGAGTTGGAAAAGGAAACAGAGAAAAGATAAAAGATAAATGATAAATATGCAAAAAAGTCTCCTACTCTCGCTGAATGGGGAAACAACCATATCATATAAAGAAAAATCTTTCCAATAAA